TCTTAGTTGTGGATGATACTCCCTGGGTAGATGATATCACCTCCTAGGAAGGGGTGATCGTTTCCATTCAGATTCTTCTGGTTTTTTTTTTTTTTTCTAAAAAAGTAATAACCTTTTAAAGGGTTAATACATAATTTGTGTAATGTTCATTCATTGAGTATTTGCTGAATAACCGTGGGTGCAGAGTTCTGCCGTAGATGTTTTCAAACATCTCCGTTCCCCACTGCACATCAGAACTGTGATAGAAACATTTGCATTTACAATATCATTGCAAACCAGTACCCCTAATTTATTGTCTCACAAAAGTTGTTTTACAAGTCTTTCATCTCCCAAGAGGTACACAGGTAATAAAGCAAGTGAAATCAGCATTTTTTATGCCTGGTATAAATTGTTATTTGTTTTGGGTGAGTAGCCATTTACCAGGCTGTTTTACAATTTGCAGCATCTTGCTCACTGGGTCTTAAACTGCCTTACACAAATCTATTCATTAAGTCACTAAATGCCCTTATAAGATTAGAGTAAGTGGTATTTAGTTTGTCAGATGGGCAAACTGATCTTTAAATGAGTTAAGTATTCCAATATTTGGGTGGGGGTGGTGCTTTTTTTTTTTTTTTTTGAGAATGCACAACTTCTCATATTCAAACTGCTGGTCCCTTACTACGTAGTAGTTAATCTTTCAGTGTTTTATTATTTCTGTCCTTTCTACCTAAAATACAAAAGCTCTGAGGTGGTTTATAACATTTAGATGCATGTAAAATGGTTGGTCAAATTTTAAAAAGGCAGATCCAAATCCAATTAGGAGAAGTGAGATGAAGATCCCTGGCATCCAGGGAGGAAACTAATTGCAGTTAAATATAATCTTTGCCTTGAAGCTTTTGAGAAGCCAAGACAAAATAGTAAGTACATCAGGTCATACAGGCATTGTTTTTGATAAAGAAGGATATACATTTGACAGGAGAAGTACTTTTTCTGTTCCCGAGTCTTAGAGTAAATTAACATAACAGGCAATAGGTGACTATTGTTTACAGAATATGTAGAAAAATTATTTAAATATAAATTTCCTATACCAATTCTATAAATGACCATGAATGGGCTATATGGTAGCCCAGTAATGACACAATTGGACTTGCATGGAAAAGGTCCTGTGATTGCATCCTGGGACCTCTTTGAGCATGCCTATGATCTAGGATGGCTGAGACAGGGGTTGGATTATGGCATGAAGACACTATTGGGGTGTCTGTCTCTCTGTCTCTCATTCTCTCTTTCCTAGAAGAAATAAATAAGTACACTTAAAAATAGTTAAAGAAAAAGGCCATGGACATTATTTTTAGTTGTAACTCAATGAAAGCACTACCATACAGAATAAGATCATATGATACAATAATCATTTATTGAGCATCTATGTGTACCTGCTACTTCACAAACTGTCTCATTGAATCCTCAAAATGGCCTTGTGAAGGAGGTTTAACGAATGCATTTTGCAGATAAAGAAATTAAGGCTAAAAAACATTACATTTCAGGTCCAGTATCACATAGATGAAGAGGAAAATTACAATTATTACTTGTCCTAATCATTCCAACTTCAGTGCCCTTTCCAGTAGAGTCTGTCACAGGAATAGCGTTAAAAGGACCTAGAACAGTTGTTCTCAACTGGGGGTGATTTGGCAATGTCTCTCTGGAGACATTTCTGGTTGTTATCCCTGGTAAGGGTCACGATTAGCATCTGGCGGGTAAAGACCAGGGACGCTGCTAAACATTTTATAATCCACAGGATAGCCACAACAAAGAATTATGCTAAGTAGCCTCATTTGATTATTCTACAATGTATATATGTACCACAACATCACACTGCACCCAAAATACATGTTTATAATTATTGCTTCTCAATTAAAAAAATAACACTTTCAAAATAAAAATGACAGAATTATGTGCCCGTCAAATATCAATTATGTGTCCAAGGTTGAGAGGTCCTTGGGGATGGTTAATTATATTGCCTTGTACTTTATCCCCTACCATCATATGTCTCAAGTAAGTTTTGACAAGTGCTGAACTGCAGTCAATTCAGAGCTGAATTCTCTGGCTTAAAAATGACAATTTTATGTTTTGAATTAAGGAAATTTTCATATGCTTTAGATACCACATATATAGGTTAAAAAGTTAATATTTATTATAAAAATGAAGAAGCTTATAATATCATCTAGGGAAGCCATTTCTTTTCTCCTGAGGTACATAGGTACTTATAGGCAGGGTTGAGATTTTCCTAAAAAACAAATTTTAAGTCTATTTAAACTATGTGATTAGTATTTACAGGAAGCCCCAGAACCTGTGCCAGAAAGTTGGAAATGGTGAAACACTAAATCATGTGTTTCCAATTGGCCTTTTTGACTATAAAAGAATTATAGTAAGATATGTTTTCTGGGGCCAGCAGGTGGCATGGTGATTAAGGCACTGGACTCTCACATGGCTGACCATGGTTAAAGTCCCAGACGTGTTGACTAGCTTTCTCACTTCCCTCTCTTTCTGTCCCTCTCCTTCCTGTCAAATTAAATAATAATAATAAATAAATAAAATAACTGATTCTTTTCAAAAAAAATCTGTTCTTTAATAGAACTGCATCCTGGTGGGTCCATAGCGCCAAGTTAGAAGTTTGGAGGAACTGAGCTGGCTTATTGAATAATTTTAGTTTTAGTGCAGTTAATGCTCAGTTATCTTTTCTGAAAATAATGAGCTAACAGGTCA